GTATAACGGATTTCCTATAGGGCTGTTTTCCTTTGTGGACGATGTTTTAAGTCCTTCCAGATGATTCCAATGTTCTTCTTTATAGTGATGACTAACGTGCGGTAGGATAAAGAAGATTGCTGAAAAGGAAAGCCGATAACTTTGACGACACATGAGCCAAGGCTTTTCACGACAGCGGTCTGTTATATATATGTATGTGTATGTATATATTGGACTAAGTATGCCACATAATAAATAAACTATATGTAACGCGTATGTTCCTACAATTTTATATCTTATTCCTATAAAATTTTCGTCCCTCCCTTTTTCTCTCTTCGTGAAACGTTCGTCACAAATAACTCATAGAGAGATTTTGCGAAATACAAGTTAACCATTCCGCTATACAATAATGTCTCAGATAATGGAAATCATTTTCTCTCTAGCATTAATTTTCTCACAAACACAACGTGCTAGGACGTATCGTTATCGTAGAATCGCATTTTTCGATTACGTAATAACTGAAGAATCGCGTCTCCCTCCGCGTCGTTAAGTCGTTAACACGCGTTACACATTTCAAACCGGAAACGAACCCGAGTTATGCACGAAATTGCGTGCAGAATTATTGCGAAATAATAACGGCACGATTGTCTAGGGAAACAAAACCGAGCCCGGAGAATCATCTCGATCGAGCGCCAGACAAAAGCACCCAGCGCTGAGAAAATATTATCACCGGTCCGTTATGCACATTACGTCTATTGATGCGTGAATTACATTGCGCCGCCGCGCACTCGTTATCGTTTCAAACAATCAAATAAAAAAAGGATGAAAACAAAAAACACACCGGCTTCAGATGTTAGTCTGGTCGTCGGAAATCGTGACACTTTACGGCGAGCGCAAATCTGGGACAAATTTGATTAACGGGCGCGACGAAAGAAAATCAACCCTCGTGGTACGTTGCAACTAATCGTACTATCTGTTATACCAAGGTCACGCGGAAGATTAAATATTGATTCAGAAAATATACGAAATCTGTCGGTGAGAGCGGGTCATCGAGATAGGGAGTACGGTGCACAATGTTTTTATTTAGTCTGGTATAAAGCACTTAAGAATTCCAACTAGAATATGCTGTGTATCGCTATCAATGACTCCTAGTAAATCGTCGAGATACTTTGAATGGTTATAACTTCGAGGAGGCCTCGAGGAAACCACAATGCAATCCATCCGCGTCGGATTTTAAATTTTCGACATAATTTTAGTTTTAGTATTTATTTTAGTTTAGTATTAGTTTTTCTAAAGTTATTCAACATACAAGTACAGAAGATGTTGTTTTAAATGGTAAACAAATGGTAAACAAATTGTTGCACGACATTTGTTAACAAACTGACATAAAGAATTTCCTTTTTAAAATATGTTTATAAAATTTTTCGGATAAATAGTAGCGGTTCATAGCGGAGGTTTCGGAACTAATAAACGATTTTTAATCGTAACGGGTTATAATAATCCACTCGCTTGAGCCGGGCAGCTTATAACAGTCTACCTAGCGCCATTTAGCGGTGTCATGGAGAAGCTTGTTCATCCAACGGGTTTGAGTCTCGGGTAAGCAAATTCAGGCAGAGAGAAGCCTGAGAGCAGCCACCATAGACACATAATATATAAACTGCGCGTTCGTTTCGATTTGGCAAGCTTGTTTCTCGTCAGATTATTTCTTCAAAATACACTAAACTGATATATTTCAACATGTCATATTTATATGCTCTATATATGTTTTATATATACCCTATATATGCTCTATATATACTATGTGATTATTAAATTTTATAACTTATTATGTCGTATTATATACGACATACTATCTCTTCGGAGATATCTTCTTATGTATACGCGTTTGTCGTTGATAAGACGACAAATTAAATTTTAATGGGGGTGAAATCATCAAAACACCTTTACACTTTCGGTATCTAGAGAATTGGACTTTTTCGATCTGGCGCATCGTTTCTCAGTAAGCGTGAATCGTGATTGTTAGTTACTGAAAGAACCGACAACTAACTAACAGTCACGATTTACGCTTACTGACAAAGGAACATAGGCAACCCGAAAATTCAGAAAATTCTGAAACATTGTGTGCAAGTAGAGTAGTACATCCATAATATAAAACTATTTTTTGTTTCTGCTAAATTTCGATTTAAGGGAGTGAAATCACCCCTCGAAACCAATGAGTGGGAAAAGCGGGGTTCAAAAATTTTTCATTTTTGCGAAATTTGAATACACCATTGCAAAGAGTATAAAATATTCTATCACTTTTATACAAACTATTTTTTCATATACCTTATATTTTAGGAAATATTCGCTAAAAATAAAAATGTTATGTTTTTTCGAGAGGTGGTTTCATCCCCTTAAATCGAAATTTAGCAGAAACAAAATATAGTTTTGTACTATGGATGTACTATTCTACTTGCACACAATGTTTCAGAATTTTCTGAATTTCCGGGTTGCCTATGTTTCCTTGTGAGAAACGATGCGCCAGATCGAAAAAGTCCAATTCTCTAGATATCGAAAGTGTAAAGACATTTATAAATCCTAGTGTTCATTGGTAAATAAAGATAACGTTTTCTACGTTTTGAATCGGTTTAATCGTCTCTACGTTATCGACGCTTAACAAGCTTGTTCACTCTAGCATCCCCAGCAAGCTGGGATTCGAACCGAGATATTTCGAGTTTCCGATATTATTCATATTATTATAAACTACCAATTCCAATTCCAATTGTAGTATTAGTATTATTGATATTATTGTAAACTCTGAATTTCTACAGAATAAATGAAAACTTTGTTTTCTTTGAATCACATCGATATCTTTTGTGATTGCCGAGAAATAAGTAAAAAATATAAGCGGCATGTTTAAACTTGTATATTTATTTATTGGTTTATATTGTCCAGTTTCCAAATCTTTTTTCCTTGCAAAATGACGCAAAACACAACGCGAGAAAGATGAGACTGATGAGAGATGATCTGTTTTTGCGATAACATCGCCGCTAGCTCGCTTCTTGTCTACGTCGTGCGGTCCGCTCATCAGCGGTGTGAGCGATTGGATGTCTGTCTTTTTCTATACCTTACTATCATTGTACGGAAGTACAATGGACACGAACCAGGCGATTGGATGTCTGTCTTTTTCTATACCTTACTATCATTGTATGGAAGTACAATGGACACGAACCAGGCGCATTTTATCGTTACCACCGTGAAAATGTGCCTGACGAACGTAGTAAAGGCGCACTTTGTTAGATGGCGTCTCGAAAATGCGCCTAACTCTGGCCATTGAAATCAAGCTGGTGGCTGCTCTCATGCTTCTCTCTGGTTCGAGTCTCAACTAAATTAGAATTCGGCCTATATTCTGAATCCTCTTTTATCGATAAAAGTGCCTTAAATGTAGCTTCTTAGCCAATCAGATGACTCCTAAGCTCATTTATCGTTAAAAGAAAACTCAGAATACGGACCTTTGAGTCTTAGGGCCGCGCACACAGAAAAACTTAAGCAGTAATGGCTCCTGCACACAGAACGCGATAACGTTTGCCGCGCGGCGAAGTTTGCGCGACAGCCAATCAATATGTTGTTTTTCCGTAAGAGCTAGAAGATTATTACGGAAAGCAGCCATAAGCATATTGACCAATCACAGTCGTTGATTCTTGGACCGTAAGAAAAATCAGCGTCTATGATCAATTTGCTTACTGCTTACATTTTACTATTTGGCTGCGTTCCAAAATTCTACTCGGTGGGTAGAGTACATTTAATTGACCAATCATGATAAAAAATTCTAGTTATCTTTGTTCTTATTGGTCAATTAAATGCTACTCTATCCGTCGAATAGAGTTTTGGAACGCAACTCTTAAGTTTTTCTGTGTGCCATGGCCCTAATAGCATGTTCGACTGGCTTTGGGTTAACCCACACTCTGGGTTATTTAGCCTACGTTTATTGATTGAACAAGTACTTATAAGCTTCATGATTGGCTAGTAGAGACTTATGACATCATTAACCGCTCTCGGAGCGATTAAGGCTGCGTTCGGAAACACACACTGTGTGCACACTACTAGTCGATAGCCGTTGGAGTGAGCGAAATACAAGAGTAAGATAAAAAGAGAGGGAGAGTACTCGAGTGACGTTTCCGAACGCAGCCTAACCCAGGGCCAGTCGAACACGTTATAAGTAAGGTTCAAGTTTCGACTAGATGGCCGGTTACGGCCAGACCCGTTATGTATTGTTAGTTCCAAAACCTCTGCTACGAGTCGCCACCATACTCAACGATGAATCGAGCGCGTAGTATGACTAAACGATAATGAGATGTAGATTATATTTTCTTGTTTTCAGGCTGCAAAAGCAATTTAGAAGGCTTTTTACTATACGAGCAGTACGACTCAACAACGGAACATCGGTACATTTATTTTAATGTTTTTCAACCCTGTAGCCAATATAAGACTTTATTTTGAAGTAGTATAATCAACAACATAGACATATGATTCGATTTATGAAAGAATACAAAAGAAAAAAACAGTTGGCTTTAACAAAACTGATAAAACACTTCAAGAAGTATTTTTTACAGCTAGAAATCTCTAGTTTTTAGTCATTTTATGAGTATAATGTTGCTGTCCTTTCTTTCTAAAATATAACGAATTGAACAAAAAATGACAAATTTTAAGTTTTAAATCTCAACTTTCAATTAAGTTTACAAAACATCTTATTATATAGACAATTTGATAAATGCGTTTTAAAGAAGAAACTTTTAGTTTTCTATTAATTTGTTAACAAATATGCAACAATTCATTTATCACTTGTGAATGATCAAAATTGAGAAGACGTCTTTTGCTTCTACGTTGAATAATTCGAGAAGAAAAAGATACAATAATTTGCAAGGATGCAAATTAAAGAGAAATATTTTTGAACAGCATAAATATTTGTGTGCGATGTTTTTATTTGTGCAGTTTGATAAACTTTATTAAAAATTTTGACGAATTTAAATTTATATTCGTATCATCATAAAGAGTAAGTAAATATGATATTCAAAAGTACATATATTTGAAAATTAGAGACTTTGATGTTGTAAAACGCTTGCCGCTTTATCTCATTAACTTCATTTTTGCGGAAGTTATAGCCTATAGAACTTTTCATTCCTTTCAGTTGCACTACACAACAGATCGAATGAATCTGTTTCTACCACAGTAAGTATTAGTAGATAAAAAATAGAAAACCAAATCCTCTCAATATACATCTATCATTCGTTTATTTTATTATGGGCAATTAATTTGCGCGAGGATAAGAAACATAATGCGCAAAATAAGTACCGAGACAAACGCAATAGCAGACAAGAAAAGATACTTTTTTGGTTCGACTTCTCGCTTCTGGCCGAACGTTTCAGACAGATGGTTCACGTACGATAGCTCGTAACGATACTCTGTCCTGTAAACAGCACGTCAACGGGAAAGAATTGTCCGCGTATCTCGTGAGATCACGTGCGCCTCACGCGAGAACGTCGGTCTTGATATCTTCGACATGGTGACCGTTTGAAGGTGGGAGAAAGAGTTGAGATTTATATCTTCCGGTTCATCGCAAATGGTTCCTGGAAAGTGGTACGTGATGCACAGAAACTATTTGTCATTAATTTTGCAGACATGAGATTCGTCATAAGTACGCGATTAATCGCGTACTTACGAGCGAAAAACATTTAAAGTATTCAGTCATTTTTTGCGCAGTGTTCAATTAATCAAGTTAAACTACCCTTTATTTCGTTCTTAATTAGCACTTTTTGGTAAACTAGAACTATTTTCGGCCATTTGCCATTATGTGAGCACATGCTGAATAATACGTTTCGGAAAGTATCGAATCGCGGAGAATTGAGTCGCAAATTGACGGCGATGATTCGCAAAATCGCGTCACATCTCCCTCATGATTTCTCGTTCTATTCCGGTAGCTGAAGGCTTCTAACAAACGGTCGTTAATGTTTAACGAGGCTGTTAAGTCCCGCGGCAGCAAGATGGCCGCAGCTGTAACGCCGTAAGTTCCATTTGGATCGTGCGCGAGGAGAACGAGGATTCAAGTGAGTTGCACCCGATACTATTTTTTACACCTCGCACTTGTAATCGTGCCCTTTGATCGGAACAATCATCATTACTAATTACGACATCTCGGTTTTTCAAGCTCGCGCATTTGCGTTCTTTTTCGCTATTTTCATTGTATATAAAAGGTGCTTAGATCGTTTTTAAATATATCCTACGAGGACCTGCTTCGCGCCGACGGGAAGGAGGAAAAAGTAAGTATGAACACCCGAGATGGAAGACGTCAGAGAAAGAGAGAGAGAGAGTGAGAGGGGGGGAGGGTAGAAGGGATGGAGGGAGGAAGAGGTCTCGTGTCGGAACAACCCCCTACGGTAGTCAAGATGTAAACACCAAAACACTGGATTAAGTGGGATACACGCGTAGCGTAAACAGCCGAGCTCCACGGGGACGCAGGCGTGGACAGTGAAAAATTTCGACACGCTCTTAGGGCGTCGTGCGCTCCCGAGTCCTACGGCACCGATTTAATTCCACGCATCGCTTTGCAACAATAATAAACCCGATTGATTGAAAATCGCTAAGTTTGCAGGAAGACAGTTCGATGCGAGAGGGGACGCGTCGATGGCGGCATTACCTTCAAGGGTAAGTCGCACTCAAAATCTCCCCGGCGGAAGGGAAACCCATATAATTCCGCTCGTATCTGACGTCCCTTCTTCGTGAAGACAAGTAACGAAACCGTAAGAAGAAACAAAGAGAGAAGTTGGGAAACGACTGAGCGATTAAAAATGTAGAAGAGACGAGCGCGAATACGAGCGAAACCGCCGCGTCTGTTCCGCTTTCCCTCGAGCTGCTGTAATTCCTTCACAATTTCTACGGCCTATCCTCGGCCGCGCGGTGTCTGGATAGTGTTTCTTTTGCGTAAGATCGAGCACGAGATGGTGGAGCACCGCGAGACTGGAGAGCGGGAGAGGGAAGGCTAGCTCTCAAAATAAGACACGTTTATCCGGCCATGCTGGTTATTTCGGAAAGCGCAGGGCTCTTCTTCTGCTACCGCGGATTTCTGTCGAAAATCGTACGGGGTAGTTGGGCGATAAATAATCCTAACGGTGCGTCAGAGCTCGTCGTTGTATCATCGATTCTGCGTTGCACGATCACGCGGCTTTTCGCAATACTTTTTCTCATGCCGCAAAAATCGACTTGCATGAACTCGCGCTCGCCGACGGATCACTTATTTGTAGATTCGCCAAATTTTATACGCGCGATCGAGGATACGCAGATCGTGGGATTTGTAGTTACATTTGACCGCGAAATCGCCGGCCTATAAACTCGGAGGATCTCCTCGGAGTCCTCGCTGATGGATCTCCGCGAGAAATCGCGCTTTTACAAGTAGGGCGTGCGAGAGACTCTAAGAAAAACGAAAACACTATAAATACAATATTACCCGTCGATCATCGTCGCCGTCGTCATCGTCGTCGTCGGAGCTATTGTCGCGGTAGAACTCTCGCTCGTTCGCTCTCGCCGTTACAGCCTCCGCGCTTGCGGAGAACACGTGAAGCTCCCCGACGGCCACCCAAGCCGCCATCAGACGCGCCGACGAGATTCTCTGTTTACACGATACCGTAATTTTATACCGTCGCCGTCGATCGGCGGCTGCGCCTTTACGAACCCTCTCCTCGTCTTTTAGCGCGCATTCGATACCGTACCCCGTCGGCCTTTCGAGTAGTCTAGCCATTCACAAATGCACCTGTTGTGCGCGGCTGTTTTGCCGGATTTCTCGACATTTATTTCACTTATTAGCAGCATCTTTCTTGTCCGTTTCGGTTACTCAATCGTCGTTTATCGATATAAATATGCTAGAACTTGATTTTTGTATCATAGCAACGCGTACGGTTGATATGAATATCAGTTACTTTGACACATCAACTACATCAATGTGATTGTGCGTAATCTGGTTACCAGAAATCGGCTAAGGTGACATTTATATGAACACACACTGGTTGAACCAACTTGATATCGTCACTGCTGCAATGTCATTAACTCAGCGTTTGCTCTGTGGTTGGTAGAAATCACATAATTAATAGTTGTTCCGTATTTCACTATTGAATCTGGTTGGTACAACTGGATTTATGTGTGGACCAACCATACTGTTTCTTCCGTGCAAAGTTGAGACGTCGAGACGCTGATATTTGACGACAACTCATCTTTTTTCCACTTATCGATAGACTTTGACTTTGCATCCAACAGAAAGAAGTTATAGAGAAAAATAGATAGATAGATAGATAGATAGATAGATAGATAGAGAGAGAGAGAGAGAGAGAGAGAGAGAGAGAGAGAGAGAGAGAGAGAGAGAGAGAGAAAGAGAGAGAGAGACGTTCTCTCGGGGACGAAACAATCAAAAGACCAATTACAAGGGCCACCGCCGCCTATGTAAACGTGCGGAAGGTTCGTTATGAGCGCGTGTGAGACGCTGCCGGCCGTAATCTCTGGTTCCGGTCTGCGGTTTCCCTACGAGCACACGTGCAACCGACACGGCTTTTCCCGGGGTGGTCCCGATTTCGTGGTGCGTCTTTATCTTAAATAAAGCATCCGCGACTCTAGCAATAGAGCCATTCGAGCCTACAACTGCCGCCGTTGCGCTCGAAATTTCGATAAGCACGAACCCAAAGATGCGACAATCGATTCGCATCGATTTCAAATCCGCTTACGGATATTTGTTCACCACTTTCAAGGTGCATTCTACTTACACTTGCTCCATTTTTCTTTCTTGCTTTACGACAGGAACCAATTATTTTCTCTCGAGGAGGCACTCGAGGCTGTCGCGGAAAACGTTACGGGAGAGCTCGAAAGTAGTAAAACGATAAACAGTGCTACTATCTACGAGGGTTGCTTTCTCAGCTTCGAGAGGAGCGCAGCAAGGAGAGAGTGGGACGTCTCGAGAACCGCAGCACTTGAACTCTCACCCCTTAAGACACGAGGCCCATTATCGCATTACCCATCTTGTTCCCTTACTTTTTGAGACGCGTTAGTAAATACGAGTGAAGGAAGCGATTGGATGATCTGCATCAGATCGTATGAAGATGTGTACAGAGTCCTGCGAGCGAAGCGTCGACAGAAAGGAAGTACGAAGACAGAGACAAGATGGCCGCGCTGCTCCTCTTTCGTCGGCTCGTTTGCCTCAAGGCAAACAAACTTCTCCTGAGAATTCGTGGTCCACATCGCCTGGGCTCTCCGCTGCGCATTCATCGTGTGCTCCGATATCCTCGCGTGATCCGATCTTCAATGTTACGAAGGATACACGGAAGTGCACGGTAGGGTAAAAGTTTGCTAGGAAGCGTCTGATGACGGAATCTCGGATGCCTTTTCTCGCTAATATTAAAAATTACAGAAAAATTCGACGGAAATCAACTCACTCAAACTTTTTATAACCGCAACTCGGTCACCGTTTTCCACCGGGCGGACATCCTCTCTTTCAACAGACTGTGTCTTGGCAAACTCTTATATTTTACGAGTAAAATACCCTTTTTACGACCACTCGAAAGTGCCATCCTTACGAGATCGTCTCTCGAGGATCGCAATAAACTGAAGCACGTAAAGCGGCACGTGATGATAAGGCATGAACTATTTCTTTCTGTCATTGCTTTCGGTCATTCGACACTCGATCACGCGCAAAGACGAATAAACATGTCTTTCTGATCGACCATCATTGGCACTTCCATCGACGACGTCCCGATATCGAGCGACGACGCATCATTGGTCTGGTGAGTCTTGTTGAGAGACGCGCGCAGTAATAATATAAGCGAAACGCGATCGGAAATAATTTATAATATTTACTCTCTAAATTTCTCAGAGTGAAATTTCACTCGAAAAGCAGAGTGACAGTCAAGTCGTTCGAATGGTCTTTTATTCCTTTAGGGCGAATTCTCCACTCTGAATCGTTGAGTGAATATTTTCACTCGTAATTGAAAAGTGCATCTAATGTATTCTCCATCAGAGGGATATATTCACTTTAATCGATTGAAACATTCGCTCGTATGAAGTCAGAATCCACTCTAATCTAGAATAAAACATTCACTCTTGTGGTTTCGAGCGGCAGTATTTTCAAAAGTATCTTGAATGAAAATACTGCCACTTTTCGCTTGTTTTAAGTGAGATTCTAGTCCGAGGAAACTAGAAAATACAATACGAATTTATATGCTACAGAACGTTTTGAATAGAGGAGACCTCTATTCCTGATCTTTGCCTAAAAAGTTGTAATCTCGAAATTGTGAAATATGAAACATGTAGCTCTGGTCTCCGGTGTCAGTGTAGCGATACAGAAGCAGAGTGACACTCCTAACCTCGAGTTGGAAAAAAAATTGGGGAAATAAGCGGCAAAAAGTTTCGTGAAAAACGTGGAAATTTGCCATCACCGAGAGAAATTGCACTTTGCACACGAAGAGGTCTCGCCGCGAGGCAATATCATAAGGCGGTACTAGAGACAGGCGGGGCGTACGTCGAGCGTACGTCCCGTTGGCCAAGAGGTAGACCAATAGCTTTTCCTTTCCTCTATCTCGTATGCATCCGCAGCTGTGCATCGCGGTTCCGACGACGGACGCATTACTCAGCACTTGCAAGATAGCGGTATCCTCTTGAAGCGATACTTGCAATTTTCGCGTAAACTGATTTTCGCAATTCACTCGCCACGGGGGAATATTTAGATGCGCCTGAATGTTCAATATCACGAGTCTCGTGAGAATTTTTACACGTGTACGACATGTGATTGCTGTTGATACAACCGGTTGTCGCAACATTTACCTTTGTGCCACCTTTGGATATTTTTGTTCTGCTAGTCACTCTCATACTCTTATCCTTTTAAATAATGCCTTTAAATGATACTCCGAATGCTTCAGTCATTCCTTCATCTTCAAATTTAACACGGCTTTCTCTCTCTCTCTCTCTCTCTCTCTCTCTCTCTCTCTCTTTCTGGGTCTCGAAGAATTCATCCAATTCGTGCGAGTATCTTTCCTCGGAGCGGATGCAACATTTTAAACTTTGGAATGTTACTCACCGTTGCCGTGTGCGACTATGTTCTGGCGTTCCGTTCTATTCTTACAACATCATCGACATTCGGAGCGCTCTCGTAGGACGTAATCGCGCGTACGACGACGGCACCGTACTACCGAATCCAAATAATAACGTCATTATGCAACTTACTTCTCCGTAATCTCGCGGGATAACGAGGACGAAGGAGACGCAGAAGCCATCCGAGACCGAGCGCGAAGGCAGTTCTCGTTCTCGAGACACCCATTGGTCGTAACCGCGTGCTTGCTCGGCTAAACGTCAGAGTGCGGCCAATCCGAATATCGCGTTCCTCGCCCCATCGGCACGCCCATAACAGAGAGTCATGCTTGATGCTGTTAACGTCATCCGCGATGAGATCCCGCTCCGGCCGTTGGTGAGCGAGCGAACAGCAGTCATCCGAAAACACTTAGCGGCGCATCAGCGAGTCCGCGGCTGTCCGCCGGAGTCGGGTGCGAGTCTAAATAATTGAATACCCCTCCGTCGCGCCGCGACGAAATCGCGCAAACAATTTACATCGGAGGGTGTAAATATCCGTGAGCACGCCGCTCTCGTCGGAGGTGGTACCCGCGCGCGCGGGTTCGTTGCTCCGCGCGGGAGCGTCGCGGCGCCCGCGACCGCGCTCCCTGTGACCGGTTTCAACCGAGAAGAGAAGTCATCGAAACTTGCAACTTTACGTCGCCCGTGTGACCCTCGTGGTCGAGCGTCTGTGCCTCGCTGTGCTGGACGTCGTCGTCGCCGTTAATTTCGCGACGGACGCCTGGACTGAACGTAGAATGCCTGCTATTATCGGTCTGTAACGATCGGACAAGCGATCCGGACTGCTCGATGGACCAGAGCGTGATCGTGCCGTCGATACCGCGCGACCTCGGCGCCGTCGACAGCTTGAGATTGACCGCCATGAAGAACGAGTCCGACGTCGGCATGCACCAACAGGAGCAAACCGTCGTCGCGCATCCAAACTCGTCTACGATGACCGCGCGATCTGTGCTGCCGATGGCGGCGGGTCTGCCGCAGGAGCAGAGCCTGGACCCACTGATGTGCAACCCCACGAGCAGCGAGATGCCGCGGAAGCCCGGCGGTCGCCGCCAAGAGAAACCGCCGTACTCATACATTGCGCTGATCGTGATGGCCATCCAGTCGAGCCCGGGCAAGCGATTGACCCTGTCCGAGATTTATTCGTTTCTGCAGCAACGCTTCCCGTTCTTCCGCGGCACTTATCAGGGCTGGAAGAACTCGGTGCGACACAATCTCAGCCTGAACGAGTGCTTCATCAAGCTACCCAAAGGCTTGGGCAGGCCTGGCAAGGGCCATTATTGGACCATCGACCCGTCCACGGAGTACATGTTCGAGGAGGGTAGCTTTCGGCGACGGCCGCGCGGCTTCCGACGCAAATGCCAGGCGTTGAAGCCGCAATACCCGCAGTATTATTCTGGCCCAGCCGGTCCCGTCGGCGTGCAGACTCCTGGCTATGAGAACTTGGCCGGCGGCGGCATCGAGTACACCAACGGTTACCAGAACCACCAATATCAAAACTACCAAGAATACGCCATGTACGCGCCGAGCGCGGCCGCGGCGGCTGCGGCAGCCGCAGTCTCCGCTGCCGATTGGGCTTATCCGGACGGTACCGCGTACAAATCTCCGCCGATCGCCGAGGTCACCTACAAGACGACCGAAGTCACGTACAAGACCGGCGAACCAGCGACGGCAGCCTCGGTGTACCGGAATGGAGAGCTGGTCGCGTTTAAGAGCGAACCAGGATCGTTCGGAACCAGAAGTCAGGATCACCAATTGACCTACAGACCCACGGTTGCCACCGACGGTTTCTCCTCCTCGGTCAAGGATCATCATCAGCAGCAACAGCAGCAACAGCAACATCACCATCACGCCGACTACAAAGACGAAGCCATGATGAATTACAAGTGCGCCAACTCGACACCCACTACTCAAGCACCTGGACAGGATTATTACGTCGGTTATGGCCTCGCAGGGGCCGTCAATAACAACGTCGGACACGGCGTCAACGTCGCCATGCAGCCTATGCAGGAGCAACAACCAGCTGGGAGCAGTCCAGTGGCGAACGTGAGCTCGCCGCATAGTGCCGGTTGTCAGACACCTGTCACGGATCACGGTAAGTCGCTATTGATTTGTCAAGAGTCGTGTAGATCCATGATTATGTCAACGATTCTTTAGTTTGACTCTAAATTTCTTGGAATAAAACTCCACTCGAAAATTAGGGTGGGAACCGAGTCTTTCGAGTGACTTTTCACCCATACGGAGTTTATTCTTTCATACTGAATCGACGAGTGTTTTTATTCGAAACTGTTCGACTAGGAATTTATCCCATGGATCAGATCAACCCAAATAGTTATCTTATATAGAGTGATGTTAATAAAGTGGTGAGAGTTTATCTTGTGTAAAGCGAGTCCACACGCAGCGTGGCAGTCGGAAGGCCTTATTAATGATACGATCTTACCAATAATTCGGACCCAACAACATCATCCAGTCAACAAACCAACAAAATGACTGATCAATCTGATCAAAACTGTGGAATAAATTTCTAGTCGGATGAAATGTGTCTTGAAAGATGTAGGGATTTACTATGTAGTATAGATTTGGTAGTGCTCACGAGTGCGCCTTTCAGGCGCAAAGGACTGAAAGAGTACGCGTTTGATAAAAGATGCAATCGTAAAATGCGATCGCGACAACTGCAACGAGACGTCACGCCTGAAATCTTTTAGCCCTCTTTACATCGCGAGGACAACGTTGACGGGTCGCGACGTCATTTAGGGGCCATCTGGAAAATCGGAGACAGTTTACGACCTTTCAGGCGCCGTGTCCTGCAAAGAGAAACCACCATCTCATCGGATATTCCATCCTTTCTTTACATTTGAAATTTTCCGAACAAACCGAATGAAACATCTGAAAAGAAGAGATTGTTCTTTACTAGACAACATATAATTCCATTGAACGTGCATTTGGTCACAAGTTATCTTAGCAGGTGCAAAATTATCTTAAATTGAGAGAGAGAGAGAGAGAGAGAGAGAGAGAGAGAGAGAGAGAGAGAGAGAGAGAGTAAAGCTTAGCTTAGAAATAGTCGATTGCGTATTAAAATGAGAATATATGTGTGTAGCACAACGTTGAAAGATTCTCGTTGTCGGAAAGCATCGTAGGGTGAGATACCGGACGAGCATCGTAGTCGACAGAGACTATTAACGAAGACAACGCGCATTTATGCGACGCTTCCAGCTCGTAACTTGTGACCTAACACGTGTAACGCACCGTAAGACGAGACGTTTCGTGGCGTTTCCTCTCCTCGCGGGATTAATTTAGCCAACACGTCGTGTCCAACACAAGGGCGACAATAAAATGCTCGTTAACACCATGTTTTTTATGGTAACGGTAACGAAACGCATGAAACATCATTTCGCAAATATATTTACGCGGATTTTTAATCTTGAATTTTTCAATATTTATATTACGCTTCAATATAACGTTTTCTTATGAATAATTTCATATACATAGGTAATTAGATAATAACGCTGTGTAAAAAAAAGATTACCATCAATCTTCAGAGTCAATGGGCAATTTGAAAGAGTAAATGCAATTTTTGTTGCCTACCCAACGTAGTCGCGTGCTGGCAAGTGTATGCTCGAATCGTTTCTCGCGTAAACATTTATAGGAGGTGTAAACAAGATGATTTAATTCGGCCTTAACCCCGCGAAACGAAGCACCGTAATATTTACGACACTGTCTTACCGAAAGCGAGTCGATTCACCGAACATTAATTCGAAACTTCCATCCATTCATGACTCTTTTCAATTTAATCCCAAATGTTTTGTGATAATTGGGCTTCAAAGTAAAAAATTGAGGAAATCGATGTCCGTGTGAACTCTACGATCTCGAGAACGGTATTTGAAATAATTCCACGACCCCCCGGTAATCTATCCGATCGACAAGGATAAGTTGCGTGATCTCTAGCTCTGCCAATGTGAGCAAGGAATCTCTTGCTCTCTGTATCTCGATACAACGCGGATCGACGGGAGATAAACGCGCCACCCACGCTTCCTCCAGCGCAGACTTCTTCTTCTTCTTGTTCGTCTTCCGTCAGTCAGTGGAGTGTAAACGAGATCGATCCACAGACGCGCCTTGCCTTTTTACTCTTCTTACGCAGCGCTCTCCGTGTATTTCTGGAGCGATCTCTTTACTCCGAACTATGGCCTGTTGTGCCGGTATTCGGTCAGAAGCGACTTCTGTGCTCCCCGAAAGCCAGCGTCTTCACGTGCGCGCGCGCGCGCGCGCGCATTCGTGCGTGCGTGCAATACGTGCTCTCGAAAAGAAAAAGAAAAAGAATTGGCGCGAGCACAGAGCCGTGCCGAGAGCATTTGGATCCACGAGAGGGATTTTGACTGACAGCAGCGCCATCGGACCACCCACGACGTCGTCTCGAGGCGTCGCGATGCCACTCGCGACGCCGCGCTACCAAGTCGAGAGCGAAAGCGGGCTGATATTTGAAAATCAAAACGATACTATTCGATACGAATTTTCCGCTAATATCGGAGTAGTGCCGATCGATCTGATGCTGTAATATAAGATAAAAGTACCAATTGGCGTACCTAAATATATCTTATTGTTTTTTTCTTTAAGTACGAATAGTTAAACTTTCAACATAGGATTCAATGTATGTATGTATGTAATATATATATATATATATTTTTTTTTTTATCTTAAAAATTTGAATTGTCGTATTTGAAGACTAAAACAATAAGAATGTGCGGGATTAGATACGTATCCGGGCAATGGTATTTTTACCTTACGTTAAAATACTATTATTTCTCGCGTAAAATGTGTGCGAAACTATGTCAAACTGAAAACTATAAACGACCACATTTAGATCTACAGATCTACAGATTTGATACGCGTACATTGTGAACTCAAGTGTGTTATTTTTAAATGCATAAGCGTGTAATTTAGCTGAAACTCTTTTCACACGTTTCTTACGGCTTTAGATCATGCCATTTAACACGTTTGAAACGTTTGTAAATTATAATTTAATACATTTAAGCGTATTAAATATATGTGACTTGAAACGGCAAGAGATAATAAATGGAGTAAATGGAGATTTTCAGTTAAAATAACACACTTGGTTCTGCAGTCGAGTTTCCGCGATAACTCACGGACCAGACAAATTTATCGAAAATAAAGGGATTAGAGATGGTACCGAGAGATCATCGCAACTCTCTTACGAGAAGCGAAAATTAATAGGAGGACTCGAGAGAGAGAGAGAGAGAGAATGGAAAAAGAAAAACAGGCGGAACAAAATTGAGACACGAGTGAAGTGGTCGCTCAAGAGAAGGCTACTTGAGAACTGCTGGAGCTTTAGATTTACGACGCCTGTCCTAAGTACCAATTTCTATCGTGAGATCTTTCAGCTTTTTTTTCTTCATTGTATTACTTGTGCCGCGTGCGGTCTTGAATAACAAAACTGGATGAAATCTCATCCATATGTTGCGGAATGTTTGGAAATTGGTATCAAATATTTTCGGAGCTCGCGTGTCTCTCGTCAAAACGATCAAGCGGCAAACATGTCTTGGGACATCGATGATTGGTACATTGACGAGCATGAGAACGAAATAATCGGTCAATTGCATGCTTAGTTCCGAAAGCAAGAATTGTCCCTTTTCTCAATCAATTGAGTGAATTTTAATGTATATGAAATGTCAATTTGAGATCTGTTTACCAAGATATACTGTGTGAAAAGATACAAACGAAAGACGAATAAAAACGGTGGATCTGTTTCAGGGATAAAAATGCAATGCGCCAATTCTAGCTCCAGCTCGAACAGTTCCGGCGGCGGAATCGTGGATCGGAAACCATCCTACTTCGCAACGCATCCTGGAGGATCGGTGACCTTGAGCTCTTTGAACTCACTGGGTTCGTTAAATTTGAGTAACATCGGCGGCCTAAGTATATCCAATATACCTGGCGCAGTGTCTACGAATATTCATCACGCGTCAACCTCGCCGCCCACGACCATGTATTACGACCAGATCAAGTACAACATGTGAAGATGTTTTCTCGTTGAAAGACCCGCATTATAATCACAGACATTCGAGCGATTATCGATCTCTCGAGATCCTCGCGGTCCAATCGATTTCGACCTATCTGTGACTATACGCGACTAAAAACTAGTAAGAATGTCCGCGCGACTTACCGCCGTGGGCGCGAATAAAAACGATGTACGTAAAATGTAAAATATAATCGCGTAAAAAAGAAAGAAAAATCGATGACCGATAGTGGCTCAAACGCGCGTGGTGTTGCGCGCATCGGAAGATACGTCCGCTTGCAGAGAACGTCGATGCATCTCGACCGTGTCCTATTTATATATTTACGATCTATCGAGCGATGTAATTAATTTAAGTCTAGCGCGGAGAAACGAAGTCTGTAGAATTAAATAACGTTTGCTAAAAAAATTTCTTCATTGACAGTTCTTTATCGCGTATACACTGAGAGAAAAAAATTTTGGTCTAACCAAAATTATATAATTATTTTTTACTCCAACTATATTTTTCTGTAATAAGATGGTAGTAGTAACATGCATATAAGGTTATCGCTAACATTGTAGTAAAATTTAATAAAAAAGAAAGCCATTTTCTTGGCCATAATTTATTGTAATTATTTCTCTGTGTGCGATTATATTTACGAATGCCAAACATTTTTGTCTCAGTGTACGCTTCCACTTTGTTCATTCAGTTGAATACATTTTTAACACTCAATCGTCACAATTGTTCGTATGAAGAGCATAATGCTTTAATAAACGGTCTCATTAAATTGTTCGTCCAAAAAATTAGTGCTGCTTGCACATATTTTTTTACACAAAATCAAGTTTACAAACAAGATCGAACGCCACAAAGTTATTGTTTATATACGAGGCTTTAGGCTATATTTAAAATATTCAGATTTGTAGCGTGCAATATAACGAATTGAAGTACTAAATTTGAACATTGGCGATCGACAAATTGGCGCGAGACAAAGTATCGCGACAATGAAGGAAGTCACGCTTCTTGACGCAGATGATATAGTCGTTTACGTCAGAATGGTTTTGTGGTGACGATAACAATTTGTTGATACCGCGATAAGCCTCTTCCAGATCTACTTACTCCACATTGACCGGCAAATTTCCCATCGCGACGTCAGTCATCAGACAGTTTGGAGACACATCGTCATCGTATGACGAATTTTGGTGATGTAATCTTTCAAGGCAGCTTCACGCACAAGCTTCATTTTCTCATGACATAGAAAATCGTATGTTTTTTTAGATCGATTCATCCCGAATTTATCTTGCAAAATTTTTATTTAATCCACATCCGAATCAAACTAGGTTAAAAATAAACAAATATAAATAAGCATAATGTTACGAAAAAACATATTTATATTTTTGCGAAACAAACTCTCAAAGGGCCGCTTAGATTTGTATAGCGATTTCGATTTCTGAAATATTCATCGATTGGAAAATGGTTCTTAATTATTCGTAAACGGATGCACTGTTAACAACAGAGTCGCGTTGTTAGGAGGGTTGTTTGTCCGCCATAAAATAACGACGGCGCACAGTGAGCAAAAAAGCTCTCTCGGTGGACAAATTAGTCTGGACGGTATAATTTTTTACCGATTTTAATCCTGTTTTTTTTTTTTAATTTACTTGTTATGAATTGCTCTATAACTTTGTCGAGTCACTTTTTAAAATTAGAGTTTTAATTCAAAATGACGAACTCAAAATGGTCTTGGAAACATAGAAACCACAAGATATTGGATATGCTTGCACCAGACCAAAATATATACAGGTTTTAAGGATAAGGAAGGATGCTCACATATTAGTACACGTTGCTTGTTAAACCCTTATAGAAATATCATACTAAGAATCATTGATAATTATCAGTATTTTCAGTATTAAAAATACTGGATAATAAGTAACTATCAATAACTCTTAGTATGATATTTCTATAAGGGAAATATGTAAATTTCAAGCTAAATTTTAACAAGCAATATGTACAAATGTGTGAACAAAGACGTAATCTGAATGCACTGTTAGTACGAAAATATCAGAAAGTCGTAAAACATTTCGGGTCGTTTCAGGTCCTCTTAAGTGGCAAGAAATTAAAATTTTGACCTCATATATATAATTAAGAATCCTTAAAACCTATATATATATTTTGTCTGGTACAAGCATATTCAATATCTTATGGTTTCTATGTTTCCAAGATAATTTTGTGTCCGCCATATTGAATTGAAGCTCTAAGTTTAAAAAGTGACTCGACAAAGTTATAGAACAATTCATAACGAGTAAATTAAAAAAAATTGAAATCGGTTAAAAATTATGCCGTCTAGACTAATTTGTCCACCGAGAGAGCCTTTTTGCCCACTGTGCGGCGGGAGGTTTCTTTTTCGACTTTCTTAGCCGGCGGCTAAGTTCGAGCAACATGGACAAGTCGCATGTTCGAATACCGATTCGTCCTTTGGGAAAATTGCGAATACGATATGAAGCAGAGAAGGGAATGCTGCTTCGCGGAAGCGCAGCTCGATAATCGACCTTGTCAGCTCCCGAAATAGTGCTGACATCCGATCTTAGAATCAAGTTATCGCGCGACCGAGGAAATAAGGATTTCCGAGTGTGAGGTAAGTTCTTTCTGAGATTTCCTTTAGAGAATTTCTTTTAGCAAATTATAGTGAGATAAAGTCAGTCGAATGTATTCATTCTCTCAAAAATCGCTAATTCTATTTATGCGGAACTGAAAAGATATTGCGAAAAGCGAATCTCGTATCAAATGAATATAAAGCGACACTTGATTACAATAGTCCGATTCAACTTTTAGAAAACCGACCTCTTAATCAAACTTCACGATAAATTCTCCGGCTATCGAAAGAGAATAAGATAGCGTGGACGAATTCTCCTTTGGCGAACGTCGCCCGGAATGCACATTAAGCCGACGACGAATGCATACATGAGGTGCAAGAAGAGTCACTCAACGACGTCGCTGACAGCCTTCGTGCTGTTTTGGTGTTCGTGTTCTCGAGACGATGTTAGTTCCATCGACGGGAAAATAAGCTGCGCGTCGAGTAAAAAATACTTTAATTTTTTTTCGAGTCAAGAATAGAAACTTCGATCAAGACATTTGTGAAAACTTGAATAAAAATAATTGGTGCAAATAGCTAAACGATAAAAATTACACAATGATAAGTATATATATATATATATATATATATATATATATATATATATATATATATATATATATTTTTTTTTTACCGTCTTCTGTAATGTGAATATTACTTGTTTTAACTTTTGAGAATATCTGTGTATTGTCATGATATATCCCGAGTGAGAAATGACTCGTCAATCGACGTCGAAATCGTCAAATCGACATCGATTCGACGTCTTTTCGACGTCGATTGACGAGTCATTTCTCACTAGGCCTCTGACACTGTCAAAATGTATTCCTCAATGAGCAACTTCATCCGTTAAGAAAAATTTCTTAACGGCAAGCAGCCATACATATACAGCTATCAAATTAGATGAGCGGCAATGAAAATAACGAACGATGCAAGGAGGTCAAGGAAGGTAAGCCTTAAAATTCGTCCTCTTATGACTCAAGTGCCAACACTTGTATCAAGCTTCACATCGAAGAGAACACATAAAGATATCCCAAGTATCAGGGACATGCTTGTTAAATATAAAACTCTGCGGATGAAAAAACTTTAATCTCAAGTAAAAGATAATTTTAATAATAATAAGTATTTTCTCTCATGTTGTATACATTCTATTTTATACACTCTAAATATATTTAAAACACATATTAAGATTCAAATTTGAATTGTAGATAAAAACTAGACGATACGTGTGATATGAAATTGCATCCGTGCATTTTCGCGCGCGGATAAATTTTTCAAACATAGCATCGATCCAAAGAATTTTATTTTTCTCTTGCATTATTTCAAGATATCTACATGAGCAAGCAAGTAAGAAACAGAGAGAGAGAGAGAGAGAGAGAGAGAGAGAGAGAGAGAAAAGGAAAGAAACGAAGAATATAGCGAAGGGCAGAAAAAAATTTCGTAGTAAGGGGTTCGCTCTAAAATAATAAACTAGTCAGAGACACGCGCGGAAAGACTAGATCAAAGTGAACAAGCATGGCGACTCATGGTAGGCAACGTCTAGATGAAAAAAATGGTTTTCAAAATATTCAGGCGAATAGAAAAGATCGTGTTACGACTTAAGTAACAATTGAAATGGGTATTCGATTTGCAATTTTTATTAATCCGATGACTAAAATTTGCTGTGCAGTTTATTAACAGAATCTTTTTTACTCGCGCTAGGTACTCCATTGACGGCGCGTTTAGTGCGCGTGCGCGAGGAACTTGGCCCGTTTGGCATCACTACATCTGGGAACATTGTAGCCATATGGACGTCACCAACAGGTTTGGACAGCGGCTGTGGGCAGGCAGGCAGGTTGGTTTTCACTCGTGGATATTGCCAAGTAAATTTTTTACCCTTTGGCTGAGATAAGAAATGGAGAGCATACTACTGAAGCTGTGCGTGCCTGATAACACCACGATACAACAGGTTTGTGGATTTTCACTTGCAACACGCTCGTCGATTCGATCTTTCTGCCACCAAAAAACACGTGTTTCATTTCGCTTTGATTGACTCGACGATTTGTCCGACTTAAATTTCTCTATATCATTCGATATTCGTTCAATCTTTTTGATGGAACGCATAGAATTTCATTTGACTGGATTGTTGTGCCATTTTCACCAACCAGTCATTTTTAATTAAGTATTGTCATGTTTTTTAGAGTTTAAATGCTAGTTATGAATTACTGTAGCCAATCATTAAAATGTCCCTTGTAATAACAATTAAGAATAATATTATCTATTGTTGTCTGTTGTATTATATAATTTCTTTATATATTTTGTTATATAGGCTACTACTGAGCTTAGGAAAGCTCTCAAGAATCCTGACAATATATCAGCTTTGTGCCAACTCGTAGTAACTTCAGCAAATCCACAGGTTTGTAATATCTCACAAACTTGACTCAATTCATGTACTGTTCTCATCTTTGATAAATATGAAAAATGATTGAAAGTGAATGTTTAGGTAAGGCAATATGCAGCTGTCCTTCTTAGGAAACGTTACAACAAAGCAAAGCACTGGGTAAATTTACCTGAAAATATACGTACTGAATTTAAGGCGCTTATTTTACAGGTGAGTAATTTTTACATTACCAAGTTTTTTGTTTCATATGGATTGAATTTGTTGTATAATATGTATATTTTTTATGTCTCAGGCCTTAGTAAATGAGCAACAGAAAAATGTTAAAAATGCTATAGCTCATTTGATAGGTATCATTGTTAAGCATGAAATTCCTACAAATGGTTGGCCAGAGGTTTTACAGTTCATACAACAATTGGTTACTAATGAAGACTTGACAAACAAGGAAGTAAGCAAAATGTTGGATAATATAAATTTTTCAAGAATTATATGAAATTTGATATAAAAGAAACTTCTTTTTAGTTTGGTTAGTCATTTTGTGATATTAAACATTTACATTCCAGCTAGGCATTTATACTTTATCCATTATGACAGAAGTTACGCCAGATACTTATGTTATGCATGCCAGATCCCTGGCAGTACTTCTTGCCCGAACATTAAATGGTCTTCAGGAAAATTTAGGAAATTCAGTTTCTTATTTCATTTTGAAAACAATGAAGAATTTTGTCCCTCTGGCTGAGCACGATCAAGTGGTTTGTATGATATACGATAGGATCTCAGATAAAACGTCAATATTGTGAAATATTGTTATAGAGGAATATGTCATTTCAGATGGTGAATACTTACAGTCAAATGATGCCGTTAGTAATAGCTACGATTCAGGCTTTCACCACGTCTGACGAAGAACGAGCCACCGAATGTTTCGAGTTGCTGGATGAATTGTGCGAGAATCTGAACGCTGTGATAGCACCTCATGTCAAATCTCTTGTCAGCATGTGCCTTGCGATTGCAACTAACAAATCTTTAGACGATTCCCTTAGAGTTAAAGCAGTTGGTTTTATTGGCTGGTTAGCAAGAACGAAGAAAAAAGCTCTTGTGAAACATAAGTTGGTAGAACCTATCGTCGGTAAATAAGTTTGCTATTTAAGCAATTAGTACAAAAGAATAGAGAATTAGAACAGAAATTCAGTCACTGTTAAATTTCCAGACATGTTATTCATACTCATGACTATACGGCCAGATAATGACGGTGATGATGATTATATTAATGGGGAAAACGATAATAATACACCAATAACGGCCGCTACTCAAACTTTAGACTTGCTCGCGTTGCATCTGCCGCCGGAAAAATTGATTCCACATATGGTAAGTTTAAAAATAATTGACCAATAAGATCAGACTTGAGAGAAATGAATTGAAGAGAGGAATGAATGTTACAGTTGCGATACATCGAACCTGGACTGCAAGGCACAGATATATATGCAAAAAAAGCTGCGTACGTAGCTATGGCTGTATTAGCAGAAGGCTGTTGTGAGTACATTCGTTCAAAGTATCTAGAATCCTTTCTGCGATGCATCTGCCAAGGAATCACGCATCCATCACCTGTGGTGCGCAATGCCGCTTTATTCGCTTTGGGACAGTTTTCCGAACACCTGCAGCCAGAAATTTCGCAATATTCTTCCGAGTTACTACCCGTGTTATTCGAATATCTCGGTCAAGTGTGTGCCCACATTAAGCAGGAGAAAAAAGAGCCGCCTTCGGTCAACCGAATGTTTTACGCTCTTGAAATGTTCTGTGAAAATCTAAATGATAGTTTGCTGCCGTATTTACCCACATTGATGGAAAGGTTATTTGAAATCTTGAGCACGGACACGCCGGTGCACGTGAGAGAACTCGCTCTGAGTGCCATCAGTTCTGCTGCCTGCGCCAGCAAGGAGAACATGTTACCGTACTTTGAGAGAATCGTCACCATTCTCAATAGTTATCTCACCGAAAACGTGACTGACATGTGTCTTCAAATTCAAGCTGTCGGTCAGTATAAATGACAGAAAGACACGATCATACTCAACATAACAATTTATTTTTGTCTCAGATACTCTAGCAGCGATTGCCAGGACGATAGGCGAACAACACTTTGCACCGTTAACAGGTAGATCTCTGACTTTTGGAATGAAACTGCTAAAAGAGACGGAAGATCCAGACTTGCGAAAGTCTATCTATGGACTGTTCGCCTCTATCAGTACAGTAATGAAGAAGGAAATGGCCATGGCTTTACCCGAGATCGTCGAGTACATGATAATGAGTATACGGAGTTCAGACGGGTTTGTGGTGAGTAAGGTAGTGTAAATCGAGAGGAAATCACGTTGAAGATAACACATGACGTAATATTGTTGCAGACATACGTTAAAGACGACGAAGCTACAGCTTTCCCTGTCTACGAAGATCTCAGCGAGGAGGAGAACGAAGAGGAAGACATCGAGCACACCGATAACGAAGAGGATTATGACGAGGACGTTGCAGGTTATAGTGTCGAAAATGCCTATATCGAAGAGAAGGAAGAAGCTGTACTGGCTCTGAAGGAAATTGCTCAATACACAGAGTAAGTTTTTTTAGATGCTCATCGACTTTGATGTGTAAGTTTGAACAAATTGTATCTAATGAGAATGTTATGTTACAGAGAAGCGTTTATGCCATATCTTGCAAAGTCCTTTGAGGAAACGTTCAAATTGACTGCTTATCCTCTAGAAGATATACGTAAAGCAAGCGTGGAAGCTCTAGTACAGTTTTGCATCAATTTCTCGAAAATCGATACCAACGAAGGCAGGCAGGCATTGTTGAGGGCTCTTTCCATGTTAGTTTCGCGACTGGCAGAGTTGGTAAGATTAGACGAAGAGGCTACAGTGGCGATTAGCGCCTTGGACGCGTACGCGGAACTTTTGAAGACTGTCAAATCGGATGTTCTCGTAGAAGCAGGTCACAAAGACGCTATAATGAATTGCGTGTTCGCCGTGATGACAGGTAGTCTGTGTTCATTAGTGTACGATGTTGAATTGTAATTGGCGCGCATTTCAAACTGCGACTTCAACCGCAGGTGAGACAGAGTGTCAAGATCAAGAAGAAGGCGAAGGTATCGAGACTGAGGCCGAACAAGATGAACTTTTGATGGAATGCGCGGGAGAAGTACTTGTCAACCTTGGAAACGTGATCACACCGGAAGACTTTATGCTTTTCTTTCAGCGCGTGTTGCCGTTGCTTCTGCAAATACTGGTATTAATTTTTAATTTTATATCAGTTATCTAAATATTTTTTCTTGGAATTAGCGACAGATACGTTAAACTGAGCTATATGCCTTAGGAAAAGAGCAAATCCGAGGCGCAAAGGTCTTTCGCGGCTGGCACGATCTCCGATTGTTTCTCGGCACTCAAGGACATGGTAGCGATGTTTGTCCCGCAACTGCTTCCGATTTTTCTGCGTCTAACCAACGATCCCAATTCTGAAATTCGCAATAACGTAATCTACGGAATCGGGGAGATGGCTTTGAACGGGAAAGAAGCCGTTTATTCGTATCCTTTTCAGTCAATGTTTTATCGTAAATGGACGATGAATGACGATCGATGATTGTACGAGTATATGTTGCTCAATAGATTTTGACATCAGTAATTGTAATTGTAGTATTGTATGATTAGGATTCTTCATTGGTATTTCTTAACGACTGTTACGCAGGTATTATCCCGCCATACTGCAAGCTCTGTCGACTGCCATTATGAAAGAGTCGCATGCGGGTACTCGTGATAACGTCGTCGGAGCGATTGCACGACTTATTATCGCGAATTACTCGAATCTGCCGCTCGAACAAGTATTCCCAATTTTTGTTGAACAGTTGCCACTGAAGGAAGATTTTCTGGAGAACAAAGCTGTGTTTAGGAGTATTATCAAGCTGTATCAAGCCGGACACCCTGTCCTGCAGCCACATATTCGTACGCTGTTGAATGTTGCGATTAGCGTATTACACGAAGAAAAAGCCGGAAGCAAAGGTGAGTTCGTGAGCAAACGGCGGATGCTTCAATAACTGGCTCATCATTATCATATGGTTGTCGCTATCGCTTTAATTTATTTGCCGTTTGCAATACTGTCACGGTCAACACTGTGTCGATATTGCCTGTCAACTAATGAATATACGTTATCTCTTTGCAGAAGCGACGAGTCTCATTATCGAATTTACCAAGTCTGCTCAGCGAGATTTTCCGGATGATTGGAATGATCTTTCGAGCAAATTGTCTGCGGAAGTTGTTGCGAAGATACAACGTATATTTTCTTAGGATATTCAAACGATTGAATAGTATTGCGGTGTATGCTATTTTTGTTTATTTAAATATCAATCTGCAATAGTTCTACAGTCTTTATCCAAGGTACATCAGGTTCCTTTTTTCTTCTCTGAATTTTGTTACAACAGCAAAATCTAAGACGACAACTGTATTCTTAAATTTATATTTTTATATCCACTTTACAAATGCAATTATTTGTTCTCTTTTTTTTTATTCTAGTTTCTTCCGTAGATATAATGAATTTGCAGTATCTATACTACGATATATGAATTTATACAGAATTCTAGTCTGTGACAATTCTGTCTAAAAAACCGATCAGAAAAGTTGAATTGTGATTAGATAACAATTTTATTACTTTTGCGATACGTCAAAACTATTTTCCTACTTCTCGGATCATAAATCTTACATGTATGATAAAGCAGAGAAACTCGATATATTACGCTTATTACGTTAATCCGATTCTAGGTTATCCGTATTATTGAGCTTACGAGTTTTTATTACGTAACTCATGATGAATGAAGCTCTTTAAATTTTCGATCCTAGAATCTCATCGAACCTGCTGTATTGTCGGGTGTTTTAAACACACACACACACACATCATTCGAAAATTGTATAAATATGACAAACTATGTGTGTGTGTGTGTGTGTGTGTGTGTGTGTGTGTGTGTGTGTGTATGTGTGTGTGTTTGTGTAAGGAAGTAGTGAAAGAATCTACTTACGAGAATACCGGGAATTCACGAAATTGACCGCATTCGATTAATTATAGTGCACCAGTCCTTTGGCAGAAAATTAAGCAGAAACTCTTGGGAAAGTGTTAGATAATGATGCCATTGTTGCTAACGAGTGGACGTATCTGCGTCGCGTTTTCTCTCTGTAAACAGAAATAGTCGACATAGTATACTACGTATATACATTGAAAATAAATGTATTATGTGAATAAATAAAAGTATCGTACCACTTATGCTTTTTATAAAAGCTGAAAATTTTTTTAGTGCACTTGCGGTATTCTCAAAACAATAAAGTTTCCACGCGCTATTTTCACCGCATGAGAATGTCAAGCTCGGTAGTGAAAAATGTATTTCATCATTATTTCTATACGAGATGTAAGTAGCTTTAACGTATCGCGCAAAGTGAATCATACAAAATGACTCATACAAAATGTTGTTCCATTAAATCCTAGAGCACACATAAATTCGCTGAATGATTTTACGACGACGAAGTCGTTTAAGTAGTTAACTTTTACTTTTAAGTGAAGTATTATTAAAGGATATCGTAGGAACTCGTACAGAGATCTCTCCGAGCACGACACTTCGTGACAGTGAATAGCTTGGCGAAAGTGGCATGCAATTCTCTTCGCGGGCATCGTGTGCATTCGATGCGCTCGGTATGCAAGACGCGAAGATGATGCGTAAAGTTCCCGGGATCTCCAGGAATTCCGTGCGACTTACAACTGATATCGAGCGTCGCGCGATGCTATCGGCGTTTTATCAAAAGGCAGCAGATAACTGTATACGGCCAGTCGACTTTTCAAAGGCCCACCGTCGAACTCTGGCCCCATCGTGGCCAACACAGCTTCTACGAACAACGTGTTCGCTCGAGCCGAACGACACGGTGCGCGCTTTTTTGCAACTTGTCGCGAAAATCGTTGGTCCGAGATCGCGGTGTGCCGTTAAACAAAAGAGGCTCGGTGTCGTGAATTGCGTGCGACGCTCTTTTTTCACTTTATACCGCCATGCTTCGTCGTGAGTCGGTATGCTTTTGGAAAATGCGACTGTTTATGAGAAACCTAATGTTAACCGAAGGGCACTCCAATTGATCGAAGACGATTCATCGTACATAGGTGTATCCTTTCCCGTTCGATAAGATTTCGCAATATCGATAACGACGACGGTGGCGGCGGCGACAAATATTTAATTAAATAAACCTTGCTGCGGAATCATCCGCAAGCAAATACACGACCAAATGTGCATATTATCGGAAAATCAAGAGCCAGGTGCAGGCTGCTTCAGAAAAGGTGTGTGCGTGTGTGCGTGTATGAAAATATTTCTTTTGTGATGATTTCTTATTATTAACCCAATTGATTCGGTAAGTTACCGAGTAAGTTACGGAGTTTTCAACTCACCTCACGACATACAAGCTCTCTTTGTCTCTGTGCTTCTCCTCGCAACCTTCGATGCACGAGGCACTTCCTTATCAATCAATCCAAAAATTCGATGTTATCGTGTGTGTGTGTGTGTGTGTGTGTGTGTTGTTGTTATTATCGCGAAGCAAACGCTCCCGTGTGTACTTTACGGATGAATCCAACGTGTAATCGGCTCATCGGCTCTTCTTATTAATGCCATCAGACAGTCGAGATCGATCGGTCGCGTCGACGAAAATCGCGATAACAGCGCTTCCGCTAATGATTGCGGTCGAATTCGATCCGGCAGAGTCGACCTTCCGATCCGGACGACGTGACGGAAGTCGTAAAAAATGTCATTGACTTGAATATCAGGAGACGCGTGCGCACGACAGCCTTGAGGCCTCCACCATGACTCGAATCGAAAAAGAGGTGTACGACCCATGTCGCGCTCGTCACACCTGCCTGTCTGAGATATCGGCGATGGAAAGTCTCGTCGACGAAAGTAGTTTACTGTGCGAAGCGAGTCGAACGCGCGAGTTCGAATAGCGCGCGCAACATCCGCTCTTCTTCTATCTATACTCGCTCGTGCATCTGCTGCTTCGCCCGGAACTTATCGCTTGTTTATTGGCTGATCTTTCCCGGAAGAGATGACGGAAGCACCGATTACACGGTTGTCAAACTTGTCGCCGTGATCGGAGATTGATTCATTGGTGCATACAGGGGTTTCGGTGACCAGCTGAAATAGATCGCCCACGTGGGAGGACTTAGAAGTGTAAGAACTTGTTCATTTAAACGATCGAGTATTTGCTTTTGTATAAGCCTCACGATTGTGCAGCGTTTACTCAACGTTCGAATAAAGTCCCTTGCTCCACTCGACCCCGACGTTGATCTCGGGGCTACCGTGAAGAAGAGCCGTTTCTTTCGAACGAGCAAACAGTTTGGTAAAATAGTTTCGCTTTTATTTGCATATGTAAATCTACGAATGGTTCTTTGATACGTGCTCGTCGAGCGTTTTATCGAGCATTGCGGTTTTTTCCCGTCCGCGCTGTCTCTGTTTCTGCTGCCTGATTTCCGAGCTGATATTTTCCTGATGATTAAGCTCGATCATGTGCGCGACGCTAATGAATTCGCCGTTTGCTCAGTGATTATTTGGCGAATCGATCGGAACAACAACAACGACGAGACGCCCGCGATTCGCTGTTCGACGTGTAGCTCGGGATTCCTCACGATTGAATCATCGTCGCGGTAACCGTTCGATAATTGATATTCTGCTCCTTCGGCGTCTCGTCGTCGACGAAATCGCTCGTTAAACGTCTCGAACGGACATTGTTCGTCCGTTCTGTTGATCATTTAAGGCTCCTGCTCCTTCGTCGTAGAACTCTTAATTGATGACGTCAAAAGCGAAAAAATACATACAAAATACGTTGAAATAAGAAGATATATCCAAGAAAATGACAATCGATCAAGCACATCTAGAACACTCCGAACACTTTCCTTTTACTTCAACAGTCAATAAGTCAGCGTAAAGTTAATGTGGCAAAATAATGAAGAAATGTAGGATAAGAAGCAAAGTCGTATGTTAATTTTACAGTTATTTGTTGATTGGTAGAACAAAAGCAAAGTGTTCCGAGTGCCTCAGAAGTGTGCTTAATTGATTGCAGGTGTCATTTCTTGAACACGTCTTTTCATTTCGTCATCAATCAAGATGGCCGCGGGCCAAAAGCCTTAAGGCCATCCATTTCGTCCGCGGAATCGGAAAGAGAGTCGTGTGTCGCATGCAGCACACGAAAAAGAAACGAGCGGACGGGATACAATTAACACAACTGGGAAGTAGCAGTTGAAACGAGCGTTTTCTTATCTACTAGAAGACCGTCGGTCAAGTCGAACCCGGAAGTCTAACTTTCGTAATCGTTTAGCGGTTGATCCAAGTGATTACGACTCGCCAAAGTGTATACGTCACGGTCGTTGCTGCAAACGTCCCGGTAGCAAAAGATGCATCGAGCGTGAATGCGCCGGAGAAAGTGGCCAACGTATTCACGCTGACCGGTGAAAAATGTTCCGACCGCGACGATGGCATAACTAGAGACGAAATTATTTCGCGGATTTCACTTTTTGCATTCGTCTGTCGCCTCACAGAGTTACTCCTCCTTGTCGTCGTTATTATCGTAAATATAAGTGATGATGATATCCCCCGAGACTCAGTATATTCGTCAAATTCTATTTAATTAACGAAATAATACGGTTGTTATTAACATCGTCATGTTTCAAGAAGCGTTTTATAAAACACTCCTCTCGGTGTATGCGACATTGTAGATATCACATGCGTTTTTCATTGAACGTTCTACGATGTTGCGTCGGCGGGACAAAATGCTTCGTAACTGCACGAGTAGTGCGTTATCTGTTGACAAAAATAGCTACCTAATTTCTCGATAAATTTGGCCTATCTTTCGAAGCTTTCATAAAGCAAAGATCAGAGAGGAGAAGTGTAAAAATAACCGCGAGTGGCTCCCCCATTAAACTCCTAACTTAGGACACAATTAACCTCACATTGACAAAACAGAAAATATCATTTCGAGAATATGTAGTTTCGCGAGTATATTTGTGTATATGTGTGTGTTTCCGAACCTACTCAACTGTGCTTCTTTTCTCCAAACTACTTCCCAAATTATACTTGCGATCGATAACGATACCATGGCATCAACCACAAGTTAATTAAAGATCCTATTTTCAGGTGGGACGAGTTCAATTTCTGGACACAGGAAGAATCGATTCCTTGACGAAACAAGTTCAATAATATCGTGTCCAGACACAAAAGGAGATCGGAGGATATTTTCAATGCTACTCGCCAGGTTTATTTCGTTCGGTACAACCTGACGAGAATATAGAGGAGCCTCGGATCTCCGATAATAGACGTAAACTTATTTATTTATAATCGACAAACGATCGCGAGGAATTCCTCAACGAGGAGACGTTTCTCTCCAGGAAATATACCCTCATTCGTACGCGAGAATCGCGCTTTTTACCTGACGAACGCACGCATCGTCTCTTCTGGTCTGCCTTCGTCGTTCGTGATTAACGCCATGACGCGCATCAGCCGTAGCTCGCTGGTATAAAAGAACGGCAGAGTATGCATTAAACTCCGTTATAGCAAAAACGTGAGAGAAAGAGAGAGAGTGAGAGAGTGAGAAAGCAAGGAAAAGAGAGAGGGAACGAAGCAGGGGGAGCGTTTCGAGTGGCCTATTTGCCTTATCACGATAAAGCCTACGTCGGCGTTGCGCTTGGCTCGACTTGGCGCGACCACGGGAAACCGTCGTGGCCGGCGCGAGTGGAATCAGGAAGATTCGCTTCTTCCGATCACCATGTGATCAGTCTCCTCGCGGATCTGTCGTTAGGATGAGTCCGATGGCCACGAGATCGCCATTTTCGTCGTTCTCGTCCTCGTGCTCGTCGTCGTCGTCGTCGTCGTCGTCGTCGTCGTCGTCGTCGTCATCGTCGTCGTCGTCGTCGTCGTCGTCGTCGTCGTCGTCGTCGTCGTCGTCGTCGTCGTCGTCGTCGTCGCTGTCATCATTATCGTCCAATACCTGTCATCAAGAATGATTTGATCGATTCGCGTGAGACACCCTCCTAGCAACAAATATGGACGTGGAGCTGGTGACTCGAGCTTCGTTGAGTTCCTTGCACAAAGTGGACGACGGCCGCATCGTTTCCCCTAACAGTCTCGACGAGTGGACGTGGTCCAGCCTGAGGGTGAGTTGTTCCCTTTCATCGCACCGCTCTTTTATCATGCGCGTACTACTCTACTCGCTGATTATTTCGTAAATTTCTGCAAAAAAATTGCCGTACGACCCTTAGAGATGATGTACAGTCGTTGTCTGCGAAAAATGTTCGGCTATTGTTCTAAAAAATATAATCAAAGAAAATGGTAAAATTATAAAAAAAAAGAGAGACATTATCCGGTACATCGATAGTATGTTTTTTTAAGTCCGACGGCATTTATTCCCATGATCATACAAAAACACGCTGAAGGATGAAAGACTTGCAACTATCGATATCGCACTTAATCTTCTGCATCGGTACGAATAAAACCAATATCATCGCGCCAATCGAGGACAATGTCCAAGTTACTCTTGGACGTGTACTTTATACTTTATGTGTTTCATTATAGCTACTTGTGTCGCGAACAACGTACTGATTGCTCGCGAAAAAAGCATCAGCGAGAGAAGTACGGTTTAGGCAGGAATTTTTAGCCCGACATCCAAGTATGGTCGTGATCCTGCAAAACTCAACTCGCTACAAGGAAAACAAGATTAATATAGGAGAATATTTAGCGCAAAGTCATTATTATTAGACGGGAACGGCTCGCGTAACGTCGAGCAGAATGCCAGAGAGCGAGAGGGAAGGAAAGAATTTTTCGAAAGTGCGAAGAACTTATCGAACAGCGATCAATTTATCTCAAACGAAAGATATCTACGCCGTGACGGTTCTCCGTCCGAGTGAGCACTTTTGGGCTGCAAAACTGGAAGAAGTCATCCTATCGCGCTTTTTTTTTTGTTGATTGAAAAAATCGCGGCCATCAAAGACGTGAGCAATTTGAAATATATTTACCGCGCTATCGGCGCTCGCGTATCAGCGCAACCGTTCGATAAGTTAGATTATTAGAAAAAGCAATCGACTGCGCGTCCTTCGTATTAATCCACCGTCGGTGGATTGGTACGCACTTGTAATGTTTGCGCAGAAAATTCATTCGAGGAGCCTTCACGCACACCTTCCCGCATGCTAATTTGGAAATTTTTCATTGAAATAAGCTTTAAATTTACTCGAATCCTTCATCCGCAGACAAATGTCCATCTCTCGATGAGAGTATGTGTCCGCTGCGAAGACGATGACGATTCGCCATGCAACGCTCAATCACCTCACCCTTATTGTCACAATTCAAACATCTTCGACTCGGAGCAGTCCGGTGAGAGGTGAGAAAACGGCGTGCGAGGACGGTCAGGGATAGAAATAACAGGAGAGCTTGAGCCGTGCGAGATTGAAGATCAATATTCAGCAAGCCGCAGGAGAGAAAGTGAGATAGAGACACACAGAGCGAGGGAAAGGGAGATAGAGAGGAGAGAGAGAGAGAGAGAGAGAGAGAGAGAGAGAGAGAGAGAGAGAGAGAGAGAGAGAGAG